GAGTCGGAACCGACTCCTCGGCACAAAACAACAACAAACAACAATGTATAAATAATAAATACAATGCAAATTATGACAAGACTAGCCTAGGAGGATGACAGAGTTACCACAAGAGCAAAATTTTGATATTGTGGGGTTTTTTTGTTTTGTTTTATAGGTTATAAGAACAAAAATTTATTAAAACCAAATTAGGGGTTTAGCCATGAAGATTCCCTTCTTTGACGGTAGTAATGGGTATTCCTTGGTTCTTTGGTGACTCTCATGTGGTATTCCACGTACGCCATGTATACACGGATGTGCGTGTGTGTGTGTTTGTGCTAATCAGGAGCAAAGGTTTTATATACTATTTAAACTTATGAGTGACTCTATGTACAACAGAACAAAGCACTGTCAAGTCCTCTGCCATCCTCAATCATTCCTATGCTAGAATCCCTGGTTGCAGCCATTGTATCAATCTAAACATGTTGCTGCTGTTGTTGTTGTTGCTAAGTGCCGTCAGTCAGTTCAGACTCACAGCAGCCCTGTATAGGGTTTTTGAAGCGCAGTTACAGTGAGTTTGAACTGCTGCCTTTGTGATTAGCAGTCCAGTGCTTATCCTACACCAGGACTCCAAAATCTGAACTATAGCTTGGTATAAATTAAGGTGTTAATAGTAACCCCGAAAGCAGCCACTAAGAAAATAATTTAAACATATACTGTAAGAAAATCAGTAAGGGAATTAAAATGGTACAGTAGAAAATCTCTACTTAACACAAAAGAAGGCAGTAATGGAAGAACTGAGGAACAAAAAAGATTTCAGACATAGAAATCAAATAGTAAACTGTCAGATCTAAATCCTATCTTATCAGTAATGATATCAAGTGTAAATGGATCTGACTTTCAAATTAAATGGCAGAGTTTGGCAGAATAAGAAAACATAATCCTATAAACATCATATAGGAAAGTATATGTCTAAAAGAATCTAACTTTAGAACCAAAGACTTAGAGAGATTGAAAATAAATGAATGGAAAAAACATACACAATGTAAATAAGAGCCAAAAGAGACCTGAAGTGATTATTCTAGTATCAGACAAAACAGACTTTAAGGCAAAAATTATTAATACAGATAAAGGACATTTTGTAATAAAGGTCAATCCTTCAAGAAGATAAACAAATATATATGTTTATGCACTTTACAGCAAAGCCCCAATATATATAAAGCAAGTGCTACAGAAATAGACAATTCTCTAATTTCTTTCACTCTACCAGCTTCCTTTTCATTCCGTTCTGGTACCTCATCTCCAAACTATTTTTCATTTTCTGCATTCTCCAGTCTATTCCTTCCTGTTGTTGTTAGGTGCCATCAAGTCAGTACCGACTCATAGCAACCTTATGCACAGCAGAATGAAACACAGCCCAATCCTGGGCCAACCTCACAATTATTGCCATGTTTGAGCCCACTGATGTTGTCACTCTGCCAATCCATCTCGCTGGGAGTCTTCCTCTTTTTTTCTGACCCTCCAACCTTACCAAATACGATTTCCTTCTCCAGTGACTGGTCCCTCCTTACAATATGTCCTAAGTATAAGATATGAAGGTTGGCCACCCTGGCCTCCAAGGAGCACTCTGGTTGTACTTCTTCCAAAACAGATCTGTTTGTTCTTTTGGCAGCCCATGGTACTTTGAACAATCTCCTCCAACACCATAACTCAAATGTGTCAATTCTTCTAAGGTCTTCCTTATTCACTGTCCAGCTTTCACATGTATATGAAAATATCATGGCTTGGGGTCTGGCATACCTTAGTCCTCAAGCTGACATCTTTGTTCTTCAACACTTTAAAAAGCTCTTGTGCAGCAGATTTGCCTAATGAAGTATGTCGTTTCACTTCTTGACTGCTGCTTCCATGAGTGTTGATAGTTGATCCAAGAAGAATGAAGTCCTTGACAACTTCAATATTTCTCCGTTGATAAGAATGTTATTTATTGGTCCAGTGGTGAGGAATTTCGTTTTCTTTACATTGAGATGCAATCCATACTGACGGCTGTTGTCTTTGATCTTCATCAGTAAATATTTTAAGTCGTCTTCACTTTCAGCAAGCAAGGTTGTATCCTCTGCATATAGCAGATTGTTAATGAACCTTCCTCCAATCCTGATGCCCAGTTTTTCTTCATAGAAACCAGCTTCTTGGATTATTTGCTCAAGATACAGGTTGAATCTAAGTATGGTGAAATAATACAACCTTGTCACACACCTTTCTTAATTTGAAACCATTCAGTGTTTCCATGTTCTGTTCGAACAATTGCCTCTTGGTGCGTGTACGGATTCCTCATGAGCACAATGAAGTGTTCAGGAATACTCATACTTCGCAATGTTGTCCATAGCTTGTCATGATCCACACAACAGAAGTCTTTGCATAGTCAATAGAGCACAGGTAAACATCTTTCTGATATTCTCTTCTTTCAACCAAGATCCATCTGACGTCAGCAGTGATAGCCCTCAGTCCACGGTCTCTTCTGAATCCGGCTTGAACCTCTGGAAGTTTTCTGTCAATGTATGATTGCAGCCGTTTCTGTATTTATTACCTTTGGTAAAACTTTTACTAGTCCTTCCTAGTCACAATCAATTACAAAATTTTTATCTTACCAATACAGAACACTTTCAGTATATATCTTCTACTCGTTTACCTAACATAAATAATTTGTAATTTGTCATTTTTATCTGACTTGGTTTATAATTTTTCTTTTCCTCATTTTGTGGAACAGAACCTTTGCATAATATCCATGCTGGATTTTTGGGTATGTGCAACTTAAAAAAAAAGACAATTGTATATAGGCCTACTGTGTTCCCATAAAATGTAATGGCTTAAAATCTCTTGTCTTGATTTTAGAACTTGATGGAAAATTTAGAGTAAGGTAATGATAAACTGCTTCAATTCATATATTCTTCAAAAAATTGGCCACAAAATCAAAACCTTTCTATAAGGTTCCTATGAGTCAGAATAGACTTGATAGCAGTGGGATTGGGTTTCTTGGATTTTTGTCTTTGTTTTTTAATCCCAGAGGTAGGAAGAAAAGACTGGTGACCTACTTTCAAAATCAGCTAAAGAAACCTGTTATGGTCTGCTCCACAACTGGACTGGGCAACATTTTGTTCCAATGTGTATAGGGTCACCATGAGCTGTGGTTGGAGTTGATGGCAGCTAACAACAATCCCAAGGATACATCCATTTCAATGTGTATTTTGGCCACTCCTAAGCTTTGAAATGGATAATAAGGAGAGGTCAGATCGATGTAAAGTCTCAAATTTCCAAGGTCTTTTGTCTAGTGGGTTAGTGCAGAGGTTGGCAGACTCTCTCTGTAAAAGGTCTGACAGCAAATATTTCAGAATTTGCAGACCATAAGGTCATAGTGGCACTGTAGAATAAGAAATAGACTGAACCACAAAGTTAGAGGTTTGAGCCTACCAGCTGCTCAGCAGGGGAAAGATGAGGTTTCTGTTCTCATACAGAATTACAGCCTTGGAAACCCTATACAGGGTCAAGATGAGTTGGGACCGATGGGACGGCACTTAACAAAAGCAACATGTTCGCTGTTGTAACTACTCAGCTCTGTCCTTGTAGGCAAAAGCAGCCAATGACAATATAACAATTGACAATAAATGGGTATGGTTGTGTCACAATAATACTTTCCTATAAAAACTGGGCCAGATTTAGCCCATAGTCTGCCAGTCCCTAGGATAATGCATTTATCCTTGTGTCAGTAAACCCTAACACTATACAAGAGGAATCCGTACATGGACCAAAATTGTCAAATTGTGGTTGTTTCCTAGCTTTATTATAAATAGAAGTTCCTTCCTTATTTTTGTGTTTTGTTGTTGTTGTTCATTTGACTTTGGAGGATGGGGGAGAAACAGAAATGTGAGCACACGGTTCCAATTTATACAAAGTCCTATCCATAATTATTTTAGAAACAACACATTATTCCATGAAATCAATATATCAATTTACCTAATATTTTAAGTTATTTTCATTTCTTTTGCTATTACTAGCGATCTGAACAAAAACACTTCTATATATAAAGAAATTTCTTTTCTGAAATTATTTCCTTAGAATAAATTCCAGATGGATTACTAAATCAAAGGCCTAAATTTGCATTTTTCAGACATTGTAAGTCATGATATAATAATGATCACCACTTACTTTGTGTTTACCATGTGTTTAGTGGTTTACATATATTATCTCATTTAATCTTCACAGTGAGGTAAACATTATTAATATTTCTATTTTATAGATGTACATATTGAAGCTTTGCCCAAGATCATACGCCAAGTTACGTGGCTCAACTAGAATCTGAAGCCAGGTCTGAGCCCTGAGATCATTAATCCATTTCCCCACCAGATTTGTAAACTTCAACCCCTATTTCATTCATCTTTCTATCACCTGGTACTACCGATGATACCTCGTTAATGTTCAATTGGATGTTTTCACACAGTTATTTCCATCCACAAATATTTACAACAAGACTCCTTCTTAATTTCTCCAACACTCAGTATAAAAAGTAAAATATTAAAATATTCTGGAATTTTAACTTGCTGGTAACTTTGTCAAAAAATAATAAACAGAATATAAATGGGTTTTTAAATGATATTTCTGGCATAGTCACTGAATACTGAGAGAAGTAAGAGTTGAGAAAACCCTTAGGGATTATCTGATTTATCATTTTGTTTTGTAATTGAGCAATCTAAGGCTCAGATAAATGTTCCAAATTACACAGCCAGTTTACAGTAATACTGGAACTATTAATTCCCAGCCCAGTGTCCTTTCAGTTTTAGAACATTCCAATCAACTACACAAACTCACAGTCTATGTAAAAGAAAAAAACAAAACAAATTGTCACATTAAATAAAGAGTCTGCTTCTAAATAATACCGTACTGGCATTAAAAGTCTTAACCTTCCACCCAGAATGGCTTATCATCTGCATTTCAAATATTTAAAACCAAAAAGGAGAGAGAAAGCATACCTTTTTAGTCCACCTTTTTACTCCATTGTATCCTTTGGTTACCAGCTGTCTATGAAAAAAGCTGTTGAAGAAATGAACCTAGAACAGACAAATACAAACACAACCAAATAATATTAAATTCAAAAAAAAGAAAGCGAATTGAAAAATACTTAAAACAGAATAAACAAAAAGAGGAGAAAATGTTCCCTCTTCAAAACAAAGATCAAAATGTAGAAAATACAATATAAGGGTCTCAGAAGATTCTGCTAATTTTCATTAGAATGACCTTATAGCTGTGGTAGTTAGAACTGGAATCAGACAGTACACAGATTATGCGAATCCAATCAAACAGAGAATCAACCTCACAAATCTCTCTTAAATCAAGGTAACAAAGTAACAAACTTGAACGAAGAAATGAAAGAAATGTGGTAATAATTACCTTGAACTCAAGAGATATGGACTGTAAAACTAACCCCATCTAGAGAACATGGATATGGAGATTCCTATTGTCATTAACAACTATAAACAGGACTTATTAGCTAATTAACCTGGCCACATGGAGCGTCAGGTCCTGCATCCTGTCTTCAAATTTCTGGCTTAAAAGTAGTACTAGCTCACCTGAGATAATAAACGTACTGTGGTCTCACAGTGTTCACTCAGTAAGTTAAGATTTGTTACTGGGAGATGTGAAATGATCAAACTATTCCCTTAATAATAAAGTTCTCAAAGTGTACTCAACAGACCAGCATTATCAGCATTACTGGAACTCATTAGAAACAGAAATTCTCAGGTCCTAATCCAGACCTAAAGGAGCTCTGGTGGCGTAGTGGTTACGAGTCGGGTAGCCAACCTCAAGGTCAGCAGTTCGAAACTACCAGCGGTTCCGCGGGAGAAAGATGAGATGTTCTGCTCCCGTAAAGATTTACAGCCTCCGAAACCCTGTGCAGGGTCACTATGAGTCAGAACACGACTCCATGGTACTTAACAACAACAGCAATCCAGACCTAGTGGGTCCTGGTGGCACAGCTGCTAACAGAAAAGTTGGTGGTTCGAGTCTACCAGCAGTGTCTTGGGGAGAAAAACGTGGCTATCTGGTTCCATAAAGAGCAGTTCTACTTTTTCCATTAGGGTCACTACGAGTTGGAATCATCTCGATGGATAAAATAGCAACAACAACCCGGATCTACTCAATTAGAAATACTAGGGGTTGAGCTCAGCAATCTGGTTTTATAAACCTTCTAGAAGATTCTAGGGGTCCTGGTGTGGCACTGTATGACAAGCACTGGATGGCTAACCACAAGATCAGCATTTCAAAGCCACCAGCTGCTCCTTGGAAACTCTGTACAGGGTTGCTATGAGTCAGAACTGACATGAAGGCTCTTCACAAAAACAACAAAGATGATTCTGTTATGCATTTGTGACAGAATCATGCAGCTTGATTAATCTTGTAGTGGTGGTGGTGGTGGTGGCTGTGTGCCATCAACTCATAGCAACCCTATATAGGATTTTCGAGGCTGTAAATCTTCATAGGAACAGAAAACCTTATCTTCTCCCACGGAGCAACTAGTACATTTGAACTGCTGTCCTTGAAGTTAGCAACTCAACTCATAACTCACTCCATTGACAAGCACTTTAATCTTGTAGTGGTGATGACTGTATACTACCGAGTTGGTTCCAACTCATAGCGACCTTGTATAGGGTTTCCAAAGTTGTAAATCTTTACAGGAGCAGAAAACCTCATCTTTCTCTCATGAAGTGGCTGGCAGACTTGAACTACTGACCTTGTGGTTAACAGCCCAGCTCTTAATCCACTATGATACCAGGACTCCTTCATTTTGTAATGTTGTTGTGGTTGTTAAGTGCTGTCAAACCGATTCCGACCCACAGAGACCCCTGTATAAGGTTTCCAAGGAGAAGCTGATGAGCTTGAACCACCGATCTTATAGTTCAAACAACTTTGCAGTCTGACACATTAGCCCACAGTGCCATACCTCTCAAATTTTGCTTGCATTAGAATCTAGAGGATTTGTTAAAACACAGACTGCTGGGGCCCACCTCTACTGCTGAGGTAGAAACTGGGAATCTGCGTTTCTCATCAGCTCCCAGGTGATGCAAAGGCTGTTGGTCTAAGTTCACACTTTGAGAGCCACCATATTAACAAATGTCATTTTAACCTCATGAAGGTTTACAATAAAATGTAAAGGTAGTGAAAGTAAATGAAACTATAAATTAATATTGTATGAAAAATAATCTGTGCATGTTTACGTTTAAACTTTTTGATTAAGAGGATATTGAGAATCTGACAGATTAGCCTCATGATTCCCATCTAAAACCCAAAACACGTGTGCAATTTTAAGTAGAAAGTTCTAAGACATTTTATCTATAGTCATAAACAGTACTGAAGCTCATTAAATTTATATGTTTAACTTAGAAGGCTTATATAGTACTTAGGAAGATTTTGCTTGTTGAAATCTTGAAGTTGGGCATTTAGTACTTAGGAAGAAAAGGTAATAATAAGAAATTTACAAAAATACTTTAAGAAGGAGCTCTGAGCCTGGAGTGGCTAGAAGAACAGAAGATACTTCTTGAAAGAAAGACCAACAGGAAAAATACAAAACAATATAGGCAGACCAACTGTTACTACAAAAACAAACAAGTTGTTTGCCCAGAAGACATCAAGTCAAGTGGTCGGGTCCCCTCAGTGAAAACCCCCTTCCAAGACTAAGACTCAGTGGGAATACACACTCTGATTGGAGACCGCGCTCATCACCGATAAAGGGAAGTGAGGGAAAAACAGCAATGAAGCTTCAAGCTAAGCCCTACAATGTTCATTAGACTCCTGTGAACCTAGGTGGAGACCTGGTTGGCCAGTAGTGTGGCAAGAACTGTTGGGCCCAGAGTCAGTAACATAGCAACAGAGGACCAGAGTGGAGAGTGAAGCATCCAGCTGATAACAAGAGAGGGTATATGCACAAAAACACCCACACTTGCAGATAATATCCACTTGACCTGGCTTCAATGACTGGATGATCAGAACTCAACTAGAAGAAAAAGAGGAAAAAAAGAGTAATCTTATACAATTTGATGAACTTGACCTACAACTATGGATGCTGTAGGTCAAAAGAGGGAACAAATCTTTATAGCAAAGATCATTCCCACCCCCTCCATACACAGAGTAGACAGGGATGGGCCACTTGGACACTGGCTACCCAAAATGGGGGTGCTACAAAGGCAAGAAGTGACTGGCTTACAAGCTTTCAAGAGGGAACCTAGATCCAGAGGGTGTAAAGAAGGTAGAATCTCCAGTGAGTAGTAGCCAATCTGTCTAGGTGGAGCTGATGAAATGAAATGCGGATGGATCTCTTGAAATACAATAGTGAATAATTGTTATCAGGACTGACTGTGAGAGCTGGAAATGTAAAGGTAGATGTTTTGTAGCAAGGAGGGGAGTGATTAACTTTTCAGTCTAGGAGCGGAGGTCCCTGAGACCATCAGTGGAGAAGAGTGGAGAAAGGGACCCTACCCAGGGAAGCTGTGATGCCTGAGATGGAGGCAGAGACGATGACGTGGAGAGATGGAGCGGCTGGGGACTTTAGACACAGAGAGGGAGAGGGGCTGTGTGCTGAAGACCTGGGGGGCATGGGGGAAGGATTGCATGGAGGGGATTGTAACCATGGCAATGAGACGATATACGATAGGATGAATGTAAAACTGATGTTCTCCCATGTAAACTATCACATAATTCACAACAAAACATTAAAAAAGAAAAAAAAAGAGGAGCTCTGGTAGTACAGGGGGTTACCAATTGGACTGCTAACCACAAGACTAGCAGTTCAAATCTACCAGTCACTCTGAAGGAGAAAGATGAGACTTTCTGCTCCCATAATGATTTATAGTCTTGGAAAACTTATACAGCATTCATTATGAGTCGGAACAGACGCGACAGCACACTACCACCAAGCTCTTTTAAGGGAATTTAGTTTGTACTTGTATCAAAGATTAATTCACAAAAAAAGACAGTGATTTTTTTTAAAAAGTATGACTTTAGTTTGAATTTAAAAGTTTGAAGAAAATAGTCCTTTTTGTACCTCTCCCAACCAAAAACAACAAAAAGGAATCTCAAGGTATAAAAAACATCCACCTTGGAACAACTAAGCAAGAAAACATGGTACTGTGCATTTCATATGCAGAAGTGATTTGGTAGACTAGACTTTATGCCCAATCCTAGCATATGATCAGTATAAAATCTGACCCTTTAAACAAAAACTGAGGAATATCAAATAAATGCATAAATTTGTTTTCAATCTCTCCTTTTAACACACAGGTCTTTCCTAATAAAGAGTAAGCTTGTACTTACTTTGTCTGGGACTGCATCCATTATCAGCTCACCGTACATATTAATGACCTGTAAACAGTTAAAATAAAACCATTTACTCACCATATACAATTAAGAACATGCCAATCAGAATGTATAACATTTTGAAACCATTAATAGGAATGGAACTTTTTGGATCCGAGGATTAGTAAATTAAGTCACTTCACTAAGGAATAAGTAATCTTTTATTCTAAAAAAGGAGTACTGGTGGTGAACTCGGCTGCTAACCCAAAGATCATGGTTCAAACCCACCAGCCACTCCCCAGAAGAAAGATACGTCAATCTGCTCCTACAAAGATTTACAATCTCAGAAACTACCCTGTGCTATAGGTTGCTACTAGTCACAAACAACTTGACAGCAGTGGGTTTGGTTTTTGGTTTATTCTAGAAGATAACTATGACAACAGCCCTGTACTTATTATATTTTATCATCCAACATCCACTGGAACTTTCCTAGAATCTATTTTTGAGGTTCAACTTTTGAGAACCTACAACACACTTACCTGGTCATTGAGCCAATTCTGACCATCCAGGGTCACCAGATCATCCATGTCCAGCATGTGCTTGTTGTAAAAAATGCGGAAGTTGCATTTTTGATGTCTGGCTCGATAGTTTGTTATTTCTCTATTGATAAATGGTTTTCTGAAACAGACAGATTTTGGAAGAAATGATCAGAAGCACAAGTTCTATTCAATGCATTGTTAAATAACTTGTTTGATCAAGAGAAAAATCAGATATACCAACAATATTATTTTCAATGATTTAAATTTATCATCATTGACAAACCTATTAGAAAAATCTTCATTAAAGACATCTTTAAGTCGTCCAAGGACATCTTTTTCACTGAGTGGGACCAAACTGCCATACTTCTTCATAACCTCATCTAAGAATCCTTAAAAATAAAAGACGAAAATTAAAACGGAAAAACAAAGCATTTTCAGAAGTCACTCTCTCCAAATACAATTTATACACACACTTAACCTATATTACTGTATTATATTACACTATACAGATAAACTTCTGTAGAAAAATAAAATGATTTACGCCTTCACCATTCCACAGAAATGCTGTGAGGCATCATTTTTAAGCTATTGATGCATTGTTACGGAGAAAAAATTCTTTCTCCTGAAGAGTGAAATACAAAGGGCTAAATCATGCACCTATTGATCTCTCCCTCTCCAGAGCAAAAAAAGAGTGAAGAAAATCAAAGATGCATACATATGTAAGCACACTTCTGGTGTGATGCTGCAGGAGCATAAGAAACCCTATACAGGGTCATTATGAGCTGGAACCTACTCAACGGCCCTTAACAGCAACAACATATAAGTGTATCTGTAAGCACACACACACACACACACACATATATGTGTGTGTGTAATAAAGCACATATATAAACATATGTAGCACATATATCCATATATATATATATATATATATATGTAATAAAGCACATAGCGGACACACTCATGGTTACCTCCAAGATACAACCAAACACCTCATAGGGTGACGGCTTAGGACAAGTCTCATGATCAACTGGCACAGTATAGTCTACAAAGCTTATGTTCTGCTTTCTAGTATGGTTAAGTAGTACCTGGTGTCTTAAAAGCTTGTGAGTGATCATCTAAGACACAATCATTGGTTTGTACTCATCTAAAGCAAAAGAGGTAAAAGGAAATCAAAGACTCAAAAATGAAACTACAAATCTAACAGTTCACACACCACAGGCTCATCTATCTTAAGACCAGAAGAACTAGACGGTACTTGGCTACCATTACTGATATTTAAGGCCAAGGACATAATGGTACTGGATATGATAAAATTGTAAAATTAATTTTTAAAAACAAGGCAAGACTTATTAGAGGAACCTCAAGACTATTACGCTGAGAGTAATAAACTTTAAACTTTGAAGAAAAACTACTCCCAGTAGTGGTGGTTCTGTGCCATTGAGTTGGTTCCGACTCATAGTGACCCCATATAGGGTTTCCAAGGCTGTGAATCTTTATGGGAGCAGAAAGCCTCATCTTTCTCCTGTGGAACGGCTGGCAGTTTCGAACTGCTGACCTTGATGTTAGCAGCCAAACTCGTAAACACTCTGCTACCAGAGCTCCTTAAACAACTCCTAGAAGTCATTGTTCAGCTAAAATGGCTGATAAAATAAAAAATATCACCTATTAATTAGTACTGTGCTTCTTTTAAAAAAATCATCTTTATGAGACCAACTGGTTAACATTTACCATAAGGAACAGATAAAAAAGAGAGAGCATAGGAACAGGGAATCTGGGTTAATGGAAGCGAAACAACTAGGACAGAAATTCACTTAACAATGTCACTTTGCAAAACATATATATTTTTAAAAATACACCTGCCATCGAGTTTATTCCAATTCCAGTATAGTTTTTAAGGCTGTGAAATTCACCACCGAGTCACACTGGTGGTTTTCACCTCCTGACCTGCAGTTAGCAGTCCAGTGCTTATTCTATAGTGCCAATAGAAATCTAATTTGCTGTATAAACTTTCACCAAAAACGAATATAAAAAAATAATAAAAGTTAAAAAGAGAGATGAGAATTAGTGAGGATCACTGTCATTGTCTTATTTGGTAAAAGTTTATCATTTAATCTCTCACTCTGTTGTTGTTAGGTGCTGCCCCAGACTCAGTTCTGACTCACAGCAGCCTTATGCACAACAGAATAGAACACTCTCAGGTACTGCACCATTCTCACCATAGTTACGTTTGACCCCTGTGTAAATCCATCCCTTTGGGTGTCCTCTTCTTCACTGACTCTCCATTTTACCAAGCATGATGTTCTCCAAGGATTGGGTCCCTCCCAATAACATGTCCAAACTATGAGAGTCAGTCTCTGGCTTCTAAGGAACTCACTTCTAAGTGTTCTGGAATACCCACTTTGTGCAACGGCACAGACAGCTGAAAACCTTTGCACAGTCACTAAAGCACAAATAAACAACTTTCTGATACCCTCTGCTTTCAACCAAGATCCATGTGATGTCAACAACAATAATCCTCATTCTACGTCCTCATGAATTCAGCTTGAATTTCTGGCAGTTCCCTGGCAATTTACGGTTGCAAAATTTTTTAATGATCTTAGCAAAATTTTATTTGCACGTCATATTAATGATGTTGTTTGATGATTTGGGTCATCTCCCCATGGAATGGGTACAAATATGAATTTCTTCCAATCAATTAGTCAAGTTAGCTGTCTTCCAAATTTCTAGGCACAGATGAATGCTTCCACTGATGCATCAGTTTGCTGAAGGATTTCAATTTGTATTCTGTCAATTACTGGAGCCTTGTTTTTCACCAATGCCTTCAGTGCAGCTTGAACATTACTTCAGTACCATCAGTTCTTTACCATATGCTACTTCTTGAAATGATTCAACACTGACCATTTCTTTTTGGTATAATGACTCTATGTATTTCTTCCATCTTCTTTTGATGCTCTCTGCATCATTCAGTATTTTGCCCATAAAATTTGCATCATTTAGTATTTTGCCCATAGAATCCTTCAATATATTGAATCAAGGCTTGAATTTTTTTCTTCAGTTCTTTCATCTTGCTCAGAAATGCTGAGAATGTTTTTCCCTTTTGGTCTTCTAACTTGAGGTCTTTGCACATTTCATTATAATACTTTTGTCTGCTCAAGCTACCATTTGAAATTTGTTTTTCTGTTCAGCTCTTTTACATTCTTTTTTGTTTCATTTGCTTTAACTTCTCTATGCTGGAGAGAAAGTTTCAGAGTCTCTTCTGACATCCATTTTGGTCTTTTCTTTCTTTCTTGTTTTTTAGTGAACATTTATTTTCTTCCTGTCTAACAATTTTCTTGATTTGGGTCTTCAATCATTTGTGTCTAATGCATCAAATCTGTTCTTGAGATGGTCTCTAAATTCAGATGGGATATTATTCAAGGTCATATTTTGGCTATCATGAACTTGTTTTAACTTTCTTCTGCTTCAGCCTGAACTTGTATATGAGCAATTAATGATCTGTTCTACAGTCTGCCCCCAACCTTGCTTTGGCCGACTGAAATAATGAGCTTTTCCACCATCTCTTTCCACATATGTAGTCAATTTGATTCCTGCTCTTTTGTATTCCATCTGGTGAAGTTCAGATGTATAGTCACCTTTTACGTTATTTTTCAAGGGCATTTACAATGAATAAATTGTTGATCGTGCAAAATTCTATCAAGTGATCTCCAACATCATTTCTATCACCAGGGTCAAATTTTCCAACTATTGATCCTTCCTCTTTCTTTGCAACTATCACATTTTTTCAAACACCAGTAATCATCAATACACTTTGATTACATGTTTGATCAATTTCAGGATGAAGAAGTTAACAGAATTTTTCAAACTCATCATCACTGGCTTTTAGTGGTTGGTGTGTAAATTTGAATAATAGTGATATTAATTGTTCTTCCTTGTTGGCATATGCATATTATCCTTTCAGACTGCATTGAACTTCAAGAAAAATGTATTGAAATGTTCTTTCTGATGATGAATGTGATGCCATTCCTCTTGAATTTATCATTCCTTTCACAGTAAATTACATGATTATCTGATTCAAAATGGCCAATATGAGTCCATTTCAGCTCACTGTTGTTAAGTGCCATCACATCAGTTCCAACTAATAGGGTCCAGGTGTGGTGCTGTGGGTTCATTCGCTGGACTGCAAGGTCATTTGAACCTCAACATCAGCGGTTCAACTCTACTTTGATGAGGCAGCTCTTCCCCAGTAGTGTTTTGAGTGCCTTCCAGTCTGCGGAACTCATATTCCAACATTATATCTGACACTATTCTGCTACTATCCATGTTTTCATTTTCTGGTTCTACATCTGACAATGTTCAGCAGCTATTCTACATCTGACAATGTTTTCAGTATCTAAACATTCAAAAGTAGTCCGCCTCTTCTTCTTCCTAGTCTGCATTAGTCTGGAAGCTCCACTGAAACCTGTCCACCATGAGTGACCCTGCTGGCATTTCAAATACTGGTGTCATAGCTTTCAGCATCACAGCAACAAGCAATACAGCACAATACCACAAACTAACATCTCACGTTGTTTTTGTTGTTAAGTGCCACAGAGTCAGTTCCAACTCATAGCGATCCTATAAAGGTTCTGAGGAGCAGCTGATGAGTTTGAACTGCCAATGTTGTGGTTTAAACTGACCTTTTGGTCTAATGCATTGTCCCACAGTGCCACACATCTCATTGCAAAGGACAAATTCTAGAGCATTTTTTATATACCATTCCATAGAGTTCTACTCAAAACACTGAATAGCTGTATGAGGTGAATAATAGAACTCGGAAGGTATATTTTAAGATGGAAAATGGAATAAAAAGTAACTTCTTGGTCCGATCATATATACATCTTAACGGCTTCCAAGAGGATACACTGAAGAAATATACCTAACAAGCCCTAAGAAATAAAACCAGGACGACAGAGGCCTCTGGCACCATCAACGGAGAAGAGCGGAGAGCGGGACCATACCCAGAGAAACAGAGATGCCTGAGATAGAGACAGAGATGATGACGTGGAGTGATGAAGCGACTGGGGACCCTGGACCCAGAGAGGGAAAAGGACTGTAGGCTGAAAACTGGGGGGACGAGGGGGAAGTGTAGGGGGTGGGTTTCTGGGATATACCCTTTGGGTGGCTGATGATGCATGGAGGGGATTGGAACCATGGCAGTGAGATGATATAAGATGGAATGAATGTAAAACTAAAGTTCTCCCATGTAAACTTATCATATAATTCACAGTAAAACATTAAGAAACAAAAACAAAAAAACAGGACAACATTTCTAAACAAATGCAAAGAATTTGAGGCCAAACTTAACTCACAATAGTATAGACATGACAGGCTACTCACTGCTGCTGAAAGGGAAAAAGAACACCATCCATGGCTAACCATGAGTCAGACTATTAGTCCATAAACAACAGGAAGAAAATGAGTAATCTGAGTGCAGAATCCAATTTTCATTGCTGTTGAGTGCCGCCAAGTCAGTTTTGATCCATAGTGATCATGTATAGGGTTTCCGAGGACCTTGAGGTTCAAACTGACCTTGCAGTGCATTATCCTGCAGCTCCACACCAGGACTCCTAAGCACAATTAGCTCTTGATAAATATAAGCCAACTCAAAGGAGCATGGAATTGTCTGGTGTGATACTGTAGGATCAGTACTGGATTGCTAACCACATGGTTGACAGCTCAAAACCACTAGCCACTCAGGGTGGTAACCAACTGGACAACACTTAACAACAAAACAAGGAACATAATGTGCACTTACGTTAGAAAAGAGCCAACACTCGGCATACCATAGAACTCAATATGGCTAATGTTACAGACGTCAGTCAAAGGAGTGTTTACTGACTGTACTGATTACTGTGTTAATCTGATTGGGGGGGAGGGTTAGTTCTTCCACTTGTTGCATTTGTCCTTTAATTGCGTTGGCGTTGCTCAGATGTTTGCCTGGAATTGGATGTTCCTCATTTTGCCAGGCATTACAAGAAGATAGGAACTACCCTCTCTCATCATCAAATTCCTGTTCCTAAAATTTTAGCTTGGTAGCAGACATTCTCACTGCTGATACATGACACAAGAAAGGAGACATACATTCATGGAGATTCTTCAACTACCCGCAGAAATGGGACACCCTCAGAGTTGCCCCATTTTTCTGCACTAATCAGCTTCCCTCTGCCATTGGAGATCCCCTATGGACCTCCTTTTACTTTTTGTCCAGGGGAATTTTCTCAGTTTTATCACTAAAATGCATTTGGGGGGTGGGTGGGATGGGGAAAGATGAAGGTTTACAGAAATATAATTTTAATTTCTTTAAAAAATAACTTTTATGGACCTGATAAAGGAAGAGATTCTACATGTTTGATTCATCTGCCTGAACCTGAAACTGTTAGTGGTTACTGATATTCTTTATCAACTGAACGAAGTTTCCTTTATTCATAGCTTTCTAAGAGACTTAAACACAAAGAGAAGTAGAGTTTTATTAACAGGCTTTTAGCACTTGGTGAGATTCCATCATTTTTCTCCTTTGCCTATTACAATAAAGAAATACATCACAGATCTCTAAAAGTGAATTCTGTGAAATACTACTTCTTCTTTAGGTCATGCTACAGTTTTACTATATGCCATATTCAATGTATCAATTATATTTGGAAGTGGAACACTTATTTACATGAAGGGGGTTTCCAAAAGTTCATGAAAATTCCATTATCTTTTAATTCCACTTTCCCACTAACTGTATTAAGTCCCCTCATATTTATAAGTTATTTTATGTGAGGAAATGCTCACTTTTTTCAAGTTTAAGTATCACAGTTCTGTTGACCTCATAGTAAGTTGGGAACTTTGTCTTTTTCTGTTCTACAACAGGTGTTGTTAAGTGCTGTTGAGTTGGTTTCGACCCATAGCGACCCTGTACAGCGTTTCCAAGGAGCAGCTGGTGAGCTTGAACCGCCGAGCTTGTGGTTCAAAACAACTTTGCAGTACAACTCATTAACCCACAGAACCACACCAGGGCTCCCTCTACAACATTATACATAGCCATCATACATGTTGTTGTTAGGTGCCATTGAGTCAGTACCGACTCATAGCAACCTTATGCACAGCAGAACAAAACACTACCTGATCCTGGGCCAACCTCACTATTGTTGCTACACCTGAGTCCATCGATGATGCCAATACATCTCACTGGGGGTCATCCTCTTTTTCTCTGACCCTCCACCTTACTAAACATGATATCCTTCTCCAGAAACTGGTCCCTCCTGACAATGTGTCCGAAGTATGAGAGACAAAATTTGGCCATCCTGGCCTCCAAGGAGCACTCTGGCTGCACTTCTTCCAACATGGAATTATTGGTTCCTTTGGCAGCCCATGGCACTTTCAATATTCTCCT